AATTTTTGAAAATATTTTTTTTAGAAAAGAAAGTAATTTTAGAAAATATCTATAAACTATCGAATAAATTTTGAAAACTTTTTGCAAAATATTGCAAAATAATTCACAATATTTTGAAATAATTTACAATATTTCGAAATATTGTGAATTATTTCAATATTTTGTGAATTATTTCAAATTATTTCAAAAATTATGAATTATTGCGAATTATTTCAAAATATTACAATTTATTTCGAAATAATTTGAAATATTTAACATGAAAATTTAAAATATTTTATATTTCAAATTATAACAAAATTATAGATATAGGATTATATCAAAAATATTCGAAAATATTTGAAAATTATTGAAATCTTTTTATGAATATTATAAATATCGAAATTAACTATTATTTATTTAACTAAATGACTAAAATAGAATAAATAAATTCTATATTTTATTAAAAACTTTATTTATTATCATTAAATATAAAAAAGCAAAATATTGATAATCCTTTATTTAAAAATATATAAAAAACAAAAGACAAAAAAGCACAGCATGGTTTGATAAAAAAAAAAAAAAGAACAAAACAAAAAAGAAGAACAAAACAAAAAAGTTTTACGCATCCTTTTCCAGTTCATATTCCTCATCTTCAGGATATTCTTGCTCATCTTCAGAAATTTCTAAAATTTATGGAAAGTTTTAAATTAGCTTATTTATTTTTAACCATATTTTTATATTTAGATTTTATTCACCCTCTCTTTGTCTTTTACTTGTCTAAAAAAATTTATAAATATTAATCAAATTTGACTTTTAAATAATAATTTAAAATATTGCATACATGTTCAGAATATTTCAAAATAATTTTACATTTTCTATCTTTTTCCTAATATTAATTTATAATATTAAATAAATATAATTGCCAATATAATGAAATAAATATTTATACTTTATCATTATTTTCAGAAATAATTTCTTCAGATTTATCACTATTATTAGAGTTCGATTTTTCTTCAAAACTTGATGTAGAATTAGTAAATATACTGCTTTTTTCTAAAATTCTCTAATTTTCGCAATATTGTGATTATATTAAATATTATTTTAAAAATTAATAATAATAAAAAAAATTAATAATAATAATATATAAAAATTAATAATAATAAAAAAAATTAATAATAATAATAAAAATTAATAATAATAAAAAAATTAATAATAATAAAAAAAATGATATATTTACTAAATTTTTTGCAGCTCTATTTTTAACTACTGTGTCAGATATTGTTATTTTTTTATAATTTGAGTTTAACATTGTCTGATACATAGCAATTGCATATGTAATTTTTTTACTTGAAGCATCTCCAGAGGGCCAAATTTTCTTTAAAATTCGAGTCTTATAAGTTTCATCTGAATTTTCTATATCTTCAAAGAGATACTTGTAACTTGCTTTTGTTTTTTCAGAGCACTTCTATTTTAGAACCTCCTCTAGTGAAGCTTTATTATTGATAGATTCTAAAAGATTCCCAAAAACAAAAAATATAGCTTCTTTAATTTTAGTAGTCAAAGTACCCCGCAACAATCCAACTTTTTCTAAAAGCTTTAATTAAATTAATTAGTTAAGGAATTAAATTTAAAATATTTAATATATTTCGAAAATATTTGAAAATACAAAAACAAATTAAATATAAAATTTTTTTTACGAGTCCATTAAAGTTTTTCATATAGTAGATATATAAGTATTAATAAATTAGTTGCTACTATATCTTGTAGTTGTTGTAATTTAATTTTTAGTATTGATTT